AGGATTTCCTTGGAGACGCATCCATGCCCCTGTTGCCCGTACAGACGGGAACAAGATAAAGGAATGGCCGTCGGCCAAGCCGCCAGGGCCATGGAACTCAAGTTTTGGTAACCTCTTCGTTCCATCGTTACCACTGCGAATTGTGTCTGGTGAAGTTACAGTGGTGCCTCGCCAGACAATGATAATCCGTTCCACTGAAATTGCTGTTTAGCGAAATCATCGTCTAGCAAAAAGCATTTCCCCATTGGAATGCATTGAAACCTGTTTAATGCGTTCCAATGGGGAAGAATCATTGTTGTCTAGCAAAGATCAGCCATATGAAAGCCGCTTTGCGAACCGCCAATCAGCTGTTTAAATAGTTGTCTTGTGAAGCTTAGGTCCCAAAAACACCTGTTTTGCGAGTGCGGAGGGAGCTGTCAAAATCGTTGTCTAGCGAAAATTAGTTTGCGAAGCAGGGACCAAACATTGTCCAGCGAAATCCCCCCACAGGAATCACTGTTTTGTGAATTGCTATAGCAATCGCAAAAAGTCAATGTCTAGCGAAAGAACTGTCATGCGGGGTAACTGTCTAGCGAGGCACCACTGTATTGGAGAAAAGGAAGAATCACAGGATCATCACATCAAGCCCTCACAGAGTGATTCTTCAACCTACCACCCGAGGCAGTCTCCCTACTTTACCTAATGGCTGGGCCAGTCCTCGCCTTGAAGCAGCAGCTTCAAAGGAGCTCAACAGCTGTGCCTCTACAGCTGCAGCCGGGGGCCCAGCAGGTTCTGCTCTCCAAGATGCACACTGAGATTCAAGGCAGCAGAAAGTGTTCATGGGTCCAAATGTGGAGCCAATACAAATTTGGGGCCCAAAAATCCCTTTCTGTGAATTCTGATGCCCAGAATTTCCTTTCTCCAAACAAAGATATTATCAGATGTTTCATTTCTGGGAGTTGGATCCAGACTTTGTCACCCTTTACAAAAGCTCCTCTGACGGATCACTAAGGCTTTAGTTATGAGTAACTGAAGTCATTTGATGGGTTTACAGTAAGAATGTCTAATCCAGTATTTGTTTCCTGACGTCAACGATGGATTTCAATGTTTCCTGATAGTTGATGGGCATCATGATCGGGTCAACAGTTATCTGACGGACAACAGGAAAATGACTTTTAGCATCTGTCAGTTTAGGAAGTATCTTATTTGGAACCTGGTCAAAAAAAAAAGCAACTCAAGAAATTTAACCATGACGTGCACAAGAATCCAAATTTCAAGGGTTACAATTCAGCTTCAGATTTCAGATCTCAAATTTTCTCATTTAACATCTCATGGGAGGTTGATGTATGGTTACCAGCACACATCTCTGCCAATGTGTTTCTTACCATAACACCAGTGAGCAGACACACCAGCTTTCCACACATCGTCACTGGCACCACATCTCCATAGCCGATGGTTAGGAAAGTTATGGGAATCAGCCAAAAGGTGCTTCCCAGGTAGTCGGACCCTTCCATGTGTTGCCTGGCAGGTAGAAACAAAAGAGGTTTGGTGTTATAAGGTGTTTGCATCTATTTCTTCAGGAGCTGCTTGTATTGCATCCGGCAGCCTTAAAACAATTTTGGGTGCTTCAAGCAGCAATAAAAGAACCAAAAAGTAAACATGCAAAGCAATGTGAAAAAGAACAAATTGCATTCAAACAGAAAACAAATCAAAATGCATTCAAACAGGAAAGCAGAAAGATAGCCATTGATAGTAAAGGTGATCATGTAGTGATATGAAAAATGCTTCATGTCTTCCTGGAAGACAGTGGCTGGTTGCCTTCCTTTGCTACAGGCGGTTAGCCACACAGGTAAGGTCTCTTCCATAATGGTTGCCAGCCTACACCATGCATAGCAGAACGCTTGAGGAGTTCTGCAAACAAGCATAGAGGTTCCCCCCACCCCATCCTGCACTATCTCTCAATAGATTTCCTGAAACAATAAATGCAAGCTTTCTACTTTTTCTTAAATACGTGTTCCCAGATGAGTTATTCCTTTTCAGTGGCCAAAAAGGTATAATCTTAACCCTGAACTCAAAACTAGCCCGCTGCACTTTGTTAGCATAAACGCGATAGATTCTTGCATAAGCTTGAAGCCAACTGGAACAAGATGTTGAAAGGCTTAAGAAAACACAAACTCGTCTGGCTGGCATCAAAGCATTGAAGAGCAGGAAATGATGGCTACAGAGGTTGGGAGCCAGCCGGCCAGGATGCTCTCAGCCCCTTGTCTTATTTCCTGGAGTCCGTTAATACCTTGTCCAGAAAGAGCAAACAGAAATGGTTCCTTCTTGATCGTATCTGTCTTCGTAGGGCAGTTAGCAAAGTAAAGCAAATGAAGAAGCATTGAGCTTCCAGGATGTTGGAAGGTGTGCGTGTATGTCAGAGGAGGGGGCCGTGTTGAGTTGTGAGGCCTTGCATGTATCCTGTGATGCATCCTCAGGTCCTGACAGTGCAACCACCAGGAGCCTTCCTCCCTAAGAAAAGCACTGCAGGACAACACCATTCAAAGATCCTCTGTTGGGTTTCAGCTCCCAAGTAGGGATCCCGAAACAATGGGCTAAAAAGATGTCCTCCGTGAATGAGAGTCAATGCAGATGAAGAGTGAGACTACCCATTCCCATCCTTCCTAGCAGTGTAAAACCAGCGGTAAAGAACAAGTGTTATCGTCTAGCAACATCTGGAGAAATGGTTCCCCAACCTTTGGGCCTCCAGATGTTCTTGGACTTCAACTCCCAGAAATCCTGGCCAGCAGAGGTGGTGCTGAAGGCTTCTGGGGGTTGCCTCTGGAGGCCCAAAGTTGGGGACCACTAATCTGGAGGACCATCCACCTCTGGAGGCTCAAGGTTGGGGACCACTAATCTAGAGGACCATCCTGCATTCCTCAAGGAGATGTCCCTTCACGAATGTCCTCTCCCACACAGGAGATGTAACATGAAGTGTAATTACAGTTGTTTTTGTTTTACAGTATTTTCTTAATGGTCCAATAAAGGTATCGCCTGTACCTGCATTTATATTGTTGCGACAGTGGATCCCCTCCTTGGGCGTTGGGGACCACTAATCTAGAGGACCATCCTGCATTCCTCAAGGAGATGTCCCTTCACGAATGTCCTCTCCCACACAGGAGATGTAACATGAAGTGTAATTACAGTTGTTTTTGTTTTACAGTATTTTCTTAATGGTCCAATAAAGGTATCGCCTGTACCTGCATTTATATTGTTGCGACAGTGGATCCCCTCCTTGGGCTCCCAGAGGAGGTATCACCTGTTCCTGCATTTGTATTCTTACGACAGTGGTTTCTCACCTTGGGCTCCCAGAGGTTCTTGGAACTCCCAGAAGCCTTCATCCCTAGCTGTGGTGGTCAAGATTTCTGGGTGTTGTAGTCCAAGAACATCTGGGGACCTAAGGTTGTTCTTAAGACCAATTAGGCAAGTACTGTCCCTCAGCCATCACAGGATATGCTCTGCTCCTTCAAGATGGTGACAACTTAATTTTCCAGTTGATTTGTTTTTGCTTCGAAATCATAGATGTAAAGACTGCTCTCTTCTTTTCCTTCCTTTCCTTGAACGAGTGTCACTTGCAGTGACAAATTGTTTATTTCCCCCTCCCAACCTGCCCCGCTGGCTCCACCACTAGCTTTCAGCTCATTATTACCTGTTGGACGAGTGTCAAATAGGAAAAAAAACTACAATCCCTTTCAAAACAAAAGCCTTTCTGTGAAACTAAGAAGGCAGTGGATCTGGAACAGTTTCAGATCAGGGAAGAGAAAGCCTTTACGGGAAGGACCGAGGCCATCCGAAGACATGCGGCTGGCCTGAAATAATAGGTAAGACGGTGGCTGGCTTCCCGTTTTCTGCAGGAGCTACATGCAGGTGTGTGAGCACACACACACACAGAGAGAGAGAGAGAGAGAGAGAGAGAGAGAGAGAGAGGTCAGAAACCACAGGCCCTACTGCCAAATTTGGTCCTTGCCATACTCTTTCCCCATGATGCCACTGGTGAGTGCTTCCCCAGGCTTGGAAGGTCAGAAACCACAGGCCCTACTGCCAAATTTGACCCTTGCCACACTCTTTCCCCATGATGCCACAGGTGAGTGCTTCCGCGCGCTTGGAAGGTTTTTCTCTATATAGTGGCGCCTCGCTAGAGTTACCCCACATGACAGTTTTTTCACTAGACACTGACTTTTTGCGATTGCTATAGCGATTCCCAAAACAGTGATTCCTATGGGGGAATTTCGCCGGACAGTGTTTGGTTCCTGCTCCGCAAACCGATTGTCACTAGACAAAGATTTTGACAGCTCCCTCCGTGCTTGCAAACAGGTGTTTTCGGGATCTAAGCTTCGCAAGACAGCGATTTAAACAGCTGATTGACGGTTCACAAAGCGGCTTTCCTATGGCCGATCTTCGCTAGACAACGACGATTCTTCCCCATTGGAATGCATTAAACAGTTTTCAATGCATTCCAATAGGGAAATGCTTTTCGCTAAACAATGATTTCGCTAAACAGCGATTTCATGGAACGGATTATCATCGTCTAGCGAGGCACCACTGTATTCTAAATAGCTCAAATGCTTCTTCTAAGTTTAGCTCACTTACCACAAGAGTTTTAAGCTGAAATATGCTAGTTTTTTTTGGGGGGGGTCCACCCTTTTGCCTGCATTCTTTCCTCCACTGGACGGCTGCTCCTATAGTCCACAGAACCAATAGTATACAAAACAAAGGGGGGGGGGTCCACCCTTTTGCCTGCATCCTTTCCTCCACTGGACGGCAGCTCCTATAGTCCACAGGACCAATAGTGAGGTATACAAAACTGGTGTGCATGTGTTTGTGTGTGGGTGAACTTTGCCCACCCCTCTCCTCTTCTAGGCCCGGTACAGAAATGCAGTGGGCTGCTCAAAGGTAATAGAGTTCTTGATCCCTTCTCCATGAAGCTACTAGTAACCCCCCAATTCTGGCAGACCAAACCAGGACCTTCCAAACTCTTGTATTTCCAATCACCATGCATGGGTGTGAAAGCTGGACAGTTAAGAAAACTGATAGGGAAATGAACTGATTCATTTGACAAGCAGTGCTGGAGGACAGCTTTGCAGATACCCTGGACTGCCAGAAAGAGAAATAAGTGGGTCCTAGATTAAATCAAGTTTGAACTTCCTCTGGAAGCAAAAATAACAAAACTGTGGCTGCTCTTCTTTGGGCACATCATGAGAAGGCAGGATTTTCTGGGAAAGACCATAATAATGAGAAAGGTGGAAGGCAGCAGGAAAAGAGGGAGACCCAATACAAGATGGACTGACTCATTAAAGGAAGCCACAGGGTTGAGTTTATGAGAGCTGAGCAGGGCAGTTGAAGACAGGAGATTTCGGAGACTACCTATTCATGGGATCAGCGTTAAGACGGAGGCCGCTTGATGGCACATAACAACAACAGCCAGCAACAACAAGAATCCTCCCACATCTGCAGGAGCTCCTCACCGTTCACAGACAGATAGCACCCAGAAGGCAATGAACCAGAGTCCCATGGTGAAGATCAGAAGCACCCGCCCGGGCTGGCTGTTCACCATCACCCGCAGCACGAAAGGGTACTGGAAGTGGATCTTGTTGAGGGATCCGATGCTGCGGTAAGAGGCATCTCCCAGCACGCTGCTCCGCAGCAGCACAGCCCGGGGCACCAGGTACAGGCGGAGGAACATGAGCAGCGACAGCGACATGTCAAAGCCGGAGAGGAACGGTAAAGTCTGTTCAGGCTTTGGATCAAGGCAGGGGAAGTCTCCGAGCGGGAGAGGGTGAAGGGAGCAGATCAGAAGCTCCAGGGCAATCAGAGCCAGCTTCGGAGTGCTCACGGCAATCCGCCAGTCCGTCAAGGAGTTATCCAGCATGAAGAGCTAGGGGAGAAAATAGAGAGAAAGCAGGTATTATAGCAGTATTCTGCATTTTCTTCTCTTCGCTACACCAATATACAGTGGTGCCTCGCTAGACGATGATAATCCATTCCACTGAAATCGCTGTCTAGCGAAATCATCATCTAGCGAAAATCGGTTTGCGAAGCAGAGACCAAACATTGTCCAGCAAAATTCCCCCATAGGAATCACTGTTTTGCAAATCGCTATAGCGATTGCAAAAAGTCCATGTCTAGCGAAAAAAACTGTCATGCGGGGTAATTGTCTAGCGAGGCACCACTGTACTTGAGTTGGTTTGCCACTGGCAAGGGATGTTCTGATTTTTTTTTCCAGCACAGCTAACAGAATTCAGCAGGAACTCCCCTAGCTAGAATTCTGGTGGCTTTAGCTAAAAGATCCGAGTTCTCAGAAGAGATTCAGGATACACACCTGCTCCTTGCCAGGTTTCTAGAAGAGGAGGGCACGGGTGGTGCTGTCTAAACTCTATGACTAGTGCAAAGCATTAGGGGACCGGTAGGTTTCTTTTGAGAGGCACCCTCTGCAGAGTCTAACAGAGAGACTACTGTCCCCTAATGCTCTGCAGCTGCCATGGAGCTTAGAAAACTCACCCCATGTCCTTCTGGCTTCATGGCCATCGCTGTAAAGAAAACCTTTGCAAGGAACAGGTGGGTATCTGAAACCTCTCTGAGAATTTGGGGAGGTGAGGACTAAAGCTATCTAAGTTCTAACTGAAGAAATTCATTATGAACTCTGGTAGCTGGGGGAGTAAATATGAAGATCACATGCCTACTGGCCACTGGGAACTGGGAGTAAGAATCACCATATCCCCATTCCCAGTAAAAATAGACATTAAAGTCTTTCTTGTGCGTGTGCCAAGGCTGGCGCTACTAAGAGGTAGAACGATCTCAGACTGTAAATACTAAGTCCCCTGAGTGCATCTCCTAAGCCCACGAGCCATTTTTGTTTCCTGGAGTCCAACCAGTTGTTCTCCATGGCCTTTCTGTTCCCTAAACTTCATGACAGAGGATGGTATCCCATTGCTTGTATTGAGCCAGCAACAGAGTTAGATAGAAATGAATTTCACTGGGTGGTTTGGTTGGTTGGCTGCTTGATCGAAGAGCTTATTATATTGTATTCGTGAAGGCTTTCACGGCCGGGATCTAATGGTTGTTGTGGGTTTTTCGGGCTCTTGGGCCATGTTCTGAAGGTTGTTCTTTCTTACGTTTCACCAGTCTCTGTGGTCGGCATCTTCAGAGGACAGCACTCTGTGCTCTGGTGTAGTTGGCTTGGTAGTGTAGTATTTTATACTGCACTCCCAAGCCAACAACACCAGATACTGCACTCCCAAGCCAACTACACCAGAGCACAGAGTGCTGTCCTCTGAAGATGCCGACCACAGAGACTGGTGAAACGTAAGAAAGAACAACCTTCAGAACACGGCCAACGAGCCCGAAAAACCCACAACAACCATCAGCTTATTATACTGTCCATTAGTCTTCATAAATTAAAATTCCTGGTCAACAGGAAAATCTTATTCTGGTACTGACAATTTTGTATCAGGTATATAAAGGATGTTCCAAAGCATTGGTGCCAACACAGAGCAGGCCCTTCATCGCTCCATAAGGACGTCAGTGAAAAAGCTAAAAACCAGACAGACAGATTCTCAGTGCGTATAGACCTAGTTTACATTGGCACAGTCTACTTCTGTTGGAGTAAAGTGAGCTGAGCACCTAGAAAGTTCTTTCAACTGTCAACAGCTTGGGGAAACAGAGAGAGGAATGACTCTGATCCTACAAATAATAAAGCTCCTTCGCCGTGCGCGTTCTCCCCTGCCAACGGCGATTTAGCAGTAGCTTGGGTGAAGCCCGGTATGACTCAGTCAGGAAGTGGCTGGCTCGGATCTGCAGCAAAGATCAAATGGCCCAGAGGAAAGGTGGAGGAATGCCTTCTGAGGTGTATTTTCCAAGTGTCTGTGGCTAAGCTATATGGTTAAGCTATACGGTGGGGAGGGCTGAAGAACTCGACTTCTGGGCATGCATCCCAGAAGCCTTCAATGGATGAGTACAGCTCCCGGTCCGCTTTTTTCCATTAGCCTCTCCTACCCTCCTAAAAAGAGTAGCAGCAGCCAGCTTTTTTTAAAAAAATAATGTATAGAGTTGAAGAATGTGGCACATTCCTTATCCAGATCAGGTTTCCTAATGCCACCGCCTGAATTAGGTAGGGGCACAGACATTATACGAGGGCTGATGTTGACACATCCGCTGCTGAAATTTCCTTCACAGAAGGGCGAAATCCAGTCGAAAAACATAGGGGAGGGGGCAATCTTCCCTCTTTGTTGTATCTGCTCCCCCCCGAGAACCCCAATACAGTGGTGCCTCGCTAGACGATGATAATCCGTTCCGCTGAAATCGCTGTTTAGCGAAATCATTGTCTAGCGATAAGCATTTCCCTATTGGAATGCACTGAAACCTGTTTAATGCGTTCCAATGGGGAAGAATCGTCGTTGTCTAGCGAAGATCAGTCATAGGAAAGCCGCTTTGCGAACCGCCGATCAGCTGTTTAAATAGCTGTCTTGCGAAGCTTAGGTCCCGAAAACACCCGTTTTGCGAGCGCGGAGGGAGCTGTCAAAATCGTTGTCTAGCGAAAATCAGTTTGCGAAGCAGGGACCAAACATTGTCCAGCAAAATTCCCCCATAGGAATTACTGTTTTGCGAATCGCTATAGCGATCGCAAAAAGCCAATGTCTAGCGAAAAAACTGTCATGAGGGATAACTGTCTAGCGAGGCACCACTGTATTCTGGCCTAAATAAGGACATTTTTAAAAAACTCACCCAATCTCCTTTTAAAGCTGTCCAAATTGGTGGACATCACTTATACATTGTGGCAGTGAATCCCACAGTTTAACTGTGTAGAGAAGCACTTCTCCCCCTGTCTCTCTGGAATCTGCTGCCAATCAATCAGCGACAGCACATTTTATGATTATAACAGTGGGACAAGAGAACCAAGTAGCAAACCCCAAAATATTAAGCTATACTGACAAAATTGCCCCACTTAAGTGTGCTACTTATGTATATTTCCCCATCATATTTAAAGCACTCTTTGGATGGTTTACAATTTTCTAAATGATGCAGACTGCACATTGCCCCTCCCCTAGCAAGCTTTTATACTCAATTTATAGACTTCGACAACCTTGAGTTGACTATCTGAGCCAACTCAGATTGTGAGTAGAGTTTCGGCTGCAATACTGCAGTTTAACTATTATACCCTGAGGCTCTTTCTCTGTTCATACATTATTCTTTGTTATCACTAAGAACCCATATCCCGCACAACCCGCTTTTCAGATTGAGTGACTTTACCCTTCACCAAGACCTACTAAAACCCCATGACTTGCCCCCTGATCAGAACTATGGAAACAAACGTCCTGTCTTTCAACAGAAGTACAAAAAAACAAGAATTCCTTTTATGACTTAGCCTTCGGCCATAGTAAACCTATGCTTACTATGGGCCGTAACGATTCCACAGCAGATTCGGTCTGTCCCTCTTTAACATGCACATGATCTATTTTTCCGGTCTCACTCTGTGTCCTACCTACTGGAGCATATCAAAAGGGCACCGGTCACAGGAACACACTAATGTTTTGTCATTTCCATAAAGAGAGAAAAAAAATCCAGCAGATTTGCATCAAGGTGTTTAAAAAAACAACTCTGCGTACATCCGTGCCAGCAGCTCCCCTGCTTTTTTTGCAATTCTCAAATCCAGTCATTCCCTGTTTCCCCTAAAATAAGACCTAACCTGAAAATAAGCCCTAGTAGGATTTTTCAGGATGCTCGTAATGCAAGTCGTACTTCAAAAATAAGCCCTAGTTAAGTGAAACCCCGCCCTCCACCCTTGTGCAGCAGCCAAAAGATGACACGACTGCATTTGAACAAATGTAGATGGCTGTATATGACAAAAATAAAACATCCCCTGAAAATAAGCCCTAATGCGGTTTTTGGAGCAAAAATTAATATAAGGCCCTGTCTTATTTTTGGGGAAACAGGGTAAAAGAATTCCTGCCATGATCCATTGAGACTACTTTAGGTCCTTTTGGGAGAAAGACAGGATATAAATATTTTAAATAAATAACATATATAAATAATGGGACTGTTTCCATCAGCAGAACCCAAAGAAAGGAACCATTCTCCTTTCTCCTTGTTTCATGTCCTGTACTCTGAAGACCTAACCTGGAGACATAATCCAGAGCAAGTCAATTTCAGTGAGAGCAAAGGGATACAAGGGGGAAAAACCCCAATGATACCGGTAACTGGACACTGATGTGATATCGTTTATAGATCACTATCCTGGATGGAAGCCCTTCTATGAAACATCTGGTGCAAGAGGCAGGGTCCAGGTCTCCATCAGGGAAGCAGATCTGACCATCACTAACACAGAACATTGGGATATTCTTTGGTTCACACGCGGAGATTCTCAAAGTTACTTTGAAGTCAACAATTTCAAAGTACCACCAGCATTTCCAGTTCAAACATCTGGGGCTAGCTTTGACTACTATTGTAGATGTTCCACATATGTTCAATTCATAGATGTTAACTTCCTTTATTTAAAACATTTAGATGCCACCTTTCTGCCTAAAGGAGTCTGAAAGTTACTGTCTTTTTTTCCTTTTTTTTTTTTTGCAACAAGGAAATAATTAAGTTATTGTTAACTTAACTCTGAAGATGCTGGCAAAACGTTAGGAAGAACAACCTTCAAAACACAGCAAAAGAGCCCGAAAAACCCACAACAACCAAATAATTGAGTTATTTTCAAGAGCAGCATAATAAGGTTTGCTGTACTGAATAGTTACAGTGAAAAGAGCAGATTCTGCCAATCTTCCACCCCTCTTTGTATACCAGTGTCCCATCAATCAATTTTAAAGGATCTCCCCCCCCCACACACACACACACTCAAAAAAAGTAATGGAGAAGCAGTTGCAACAGGTCACAACTTACTGAATGAAATCCATACTGTCAATAGCAACAACCTTAAATAGAAGGGTATTAACAGGTAAAATAAATTACTTTGCAACCCAGCTTACCTGGATTTCCTTGATGTGAAAAGCCAGGATGAGGATCAAAAGGCCAGCTGTAGAAAGGCTGATAAGGCACTTCACCATGAAGGAATAGGCGAACCACTGAAGGAGGAGGGAAAAAAGGAAAGTTGAGTGATGGGGGAGGCTCCAGGTCCCTCTTCGGACCTAAAACTCAGCAGACCAGCCTTCGAGACCATCGTTTGATGGAAGAGCCTCTTTTTTCAGCCACTCCCACCACCTGCACCAAGAGCGGACAAAGCGTGGCTCACGGATGCCACACAGCCATCCATGGACCCAAAATGCACCCATTCCCAGCTCCCCTGCCTTCTCTCTAGCACCCCAAAAGTAAAATATTTTGAAGGTAGCAGTTGTGGGAGTGAGAGAAGCCCCTTGAGGAGGAGGAGGAGTGGGTGGATCGGGCCTCCAGGTTTCTTAGCTGAGGCCATCACTTGATGGGTCCTTTCAAGAGTGATGAAAAATTCCACCTCGGTCTGAGAGGAGACACCATTACATGGATTGTCCTTGATGACTAGCATATAGGGTTTCTAGGCTTTGAGGGTCACATATTGGGGGTCCCTTTTCTGACTCTCAGAAAATGAGAGGCTGTCAATTTGACCAGCTTAGGTTTCGGGGTTCATTTTCACACCTTCAGGACATGTCATTCAGAACATGCTCAGAAACACTGTTGTTTTCTTCATTATCTTACACGCTCTTCAGCAGCAACCACTGGAATCTCTTGTTTTTAAGAGCCAATTAAAAACTTGGCTCTTTAGGCAGGCCTTCCCCCCTGTCAGTACGCAGCTCTTTAAGGCAGGCCTTCCCTCCTGTCAGTACGCGACTTTATTTTTATTATAATTTTCTGCTTTCCCATCTTGAGCATTACTAAGGCATTACTCATCATTATTCTTTTGAATTGTTTTTAACTGTTTTAGTTTACAAGGTTTAATGGAACCCGTCTGGAGTAGGCTTTGTCTAAAAGGGCGGGATAGAAATCTAATAAATAAATAAATCTATACATCAGTTTTTTCCATCTGACATAGGGTAGTTACATTGTCCATCTGTGACACACAACATTTTGCCATTCTTGCTCAGGGAGGATCTCTGCCCCTCTCCCTGCGATCGCCCTCCCTGGCAGGCTTTAGCTACGAAATTTCAGGGAGTTGAAGGGAACTGAGCTAGCCACCCTCGGATGATGGGAGGCATTGCCATAAGCAACCTGAGGTCTGTGGAAGCTACGACAGGTAATACTGCCGGTGTTTGAACTAAGTTGCCTATTTTCTTGAATGCCTTTTTTCAAATGTGATTCAAGTGTTATCTAAAGTAATGTTGTTGTTGCTCTGTTCTTCTTTCATTTGATTCTGCTTACTCTAATTTTTGGCTTTCATTGCATACCGCTGTGCTAAAATCCTGTTGCTCAGCCTGGGAAGTTGCACTAGAGTAGACCCACTGAATCAGTGGGGCTCTCTTCTACAAGTTCCATTGATTCAAAAGGGCCTGTTCTAATTATGCCATGACTTCAGCATAGTAAAGTCACAACTAGAGTAGACCCATTAGAACCAACAGAACTTATGGAGGAGCTGAGTCACCAAATCTTCATTGATTCAGTGAGCCTATTATAGTATAACTTAGTATGCTAAGCCATAGGGTTTCAGGCTTTGTGACATGTAATTGCCTTCATTTGACTTTTTCTTTTGTTTTATCAAGAAAAACCATTTTATGGATTAAGAAGGCTGTGGATTTGTTCATTCATTCAAAATATATTTACTCCACCTTTCTCTCTAAAAAGGACCCAAGGGAACTTATATCATTAAAATGCAATATTTAAAACTAAAAACAGTGTGTACATGAATAACTAAAACGGATCAAACAATTACCACACTTTAAAAAAAGGTAAATGAAAGCAACACCAAAAACACACACAAAGCACAACCATACAACCATCCGTTTAGGAACCCCACTCAGGGAGGCAGTCATTGATTTAAGAACCCCACTCAGGCAGGCAGTCATTGAAATAAAACCTGCTTAAAGAGAAAGGTCTTTATCCAATTGAAGAAGGCCAGCAAAGATGGGGACAGCCTGGCTTCTTGTGGCAGAGAGTTCCAAAGTCTGGGAGCAGCTACACACACGTGGAGATGGTGGGACCACGAGAAAGGCAGTTTTTAGTTTTAAGCAGAGGAAGGATATTTGTGCATGCTTAATTGTTTTTTTTATTAAAAAACATGTGTAGCAGAGTAAGAGTTACACAAGTCTTCTCTCCCACTCCTCTGCTCAAAATTCTAGGTGGCATCACCTGAGGAGCTTTTGAAGAAGACAGGTATGTTTACCCTTGAAAGCAAAATATTAAGAGAGAATAGGATTAATGTCTTCAAATGTTTGAAAGGGTTGTCACATTGCTGACTGTACCAATTTGTTTCCTCTAGTTTCAGAAAAAATAACAGATTCGAATTACAAAGAGTGTTTTCCCTGAACTGTACAAATAATTTCCTGATGCGAGGAGCTGGAACGGGCCACCTCCAAATGTTCTGGACCTGTTTCTTGGTAGAAGTTTTTAACCAGAGGTAGCATGGCCACCCAATGCTGCCTCTGAATGATAAATCCCAAACTGGAATTAAGATTGCCAGAAGAGATATCCATAACCTTAGATATGCAGACGATACCACTCTGGTGGCAGAAAATGAGGAAGAATTAAAGAACCTCTTCATGAGGGTGAAAGAGGAGAGTGCCAAAAATGGTCT